CCAAAGCAATCTACACATTTAATGCAATATACACATTTAATGCAATCCCTATCAAAATACCAACAGCATTTTTCACAGAACTAGAGCAAAATATCCTAAAATTTGTATGGAACCACAAATACCATGAATAGCCAAAGTGATCTTGAAAAAGAAAAACAAAGCTGGAAGCATCACAATTCTGGACTTCAGAGTTGTAGTAATCAAAACAGTATGGTACTGGCACAAAAACAGACACATAGATCAATACAATAGAATACAAAATCCAGAAATAAGCCCACAATTTTATGGTCAATTAATCTTTGACAAAGCAGGGAAGAATATCCAATGGGAAAAAGAAAATCTCTTCAACAAATGGTGTTGGGAAAACTGGACAGCAACATGCAAAAGAATGAAACTGGACCATTTTCTTATATCATACACAAAAAGTATGCGCTAAATGGATTAAGGACCTAAACGTGAGACCTGAAAGCATAAATATCCTAGAAAAGGACATGGCAGTAATTTCTCTGACATCGGCCCTAGCAACTTTTTTTAGAAAGGTCCCCTGAGGCAAGGGAAACAAAAGAAAAATAAACTATTATGACCACATCAAAATAAAAACTTCTGCACAGCAAAGGAAACAATCAACAATACTAAAAGGCAACCTACTGAATGGGAGAAGATTATTTGCAAATGACATATGTGATAAAGGGTTAGTATCTAAAATATATAAAGGACTTATATAACTCAACACCAAAAAACAAAATAATCTAATTAAAATGGGCAGAAGACATGAACAGATATTTCTCCAAAGAAAACATCCAGATGGCCAACAGACCCATGAAAAGATCCTCATCATCACTTATCATCAAGGAAATGCAAATCAAAACTACAATGAGATACCACCTTACACCTGTCAGAATGGCTAAAATAAAAAACACAAGAAACACACGATGAGGCCAGGATGTGGAGAAAAAGGAGCCCTCGTGCACTGTCGGTAGGAATGCAAAATGGTGCAGCCACTGTGGAAAACAGTATGGAGGGTCCTCAGAAAGTTAAAAATAGAACTACCCTACAATCCTGCAATTGCACTACTGGGTATCTACCCAAGGAATACAAGAACACTAATTCAAAGGGATACATGCACCCCTATGTTTATAGTAGCATCATTTACAACAGCTAAGATATGGAAGCAGCCCAAGTGTTCATCGATACATAAATGGATAAAGAGAAGTGGACAGATATATAACGGAATATTACTCAGCCATAAAAAGAATGAAATCTTGCCATTTGCAACGGCATGGATGGAGCTAGAGAGTATAATGCTAATCAAAATAAGTCAGTCAGAGAAAGACAAATACCATATGATTTCACTCATATGTGGAATTTAAGAACAAAGCAAACAAGAAAAGTGGAAAAGACAGAGAGAGAGAGAAAGCAAGAAACAGGCTCTTAAATCTAGAGAACAAATAGATGGTTACCAGAGGGAAGGTGGGTGGGGGTGGGGTGGGTAAAATAGGTGATGGGGATTAAGGAGTGAACTTGTCATGTTGAGCAGCTGGTGATTAAAATGAAAACTTAAGAAAAAAAAGGAAGCGTGGTGGAGGAAGAGTGAGCGGGCAATGAGTCCTGGCAATGAGATGAGAGAAGTCCAAGGAGACACCAAGGCTTCAGGCCTGAAGAGCTCTCTGGGTTATTGCAAAACAATCTTTACCCTGCCTTGTGTTATTTTAAAGAGGAAAAATTGGGGGGGCACCTGGGTGGCTCAGTCAGTGAAGTGTCTGCCCTTGACTCAGGTCATAATCTGGAGGTCCTGGGATCGAGCTCCACATCGGGCTCCCCGCTCCTCAGGGAGTCTGCTTCTCCCTCTCCCTCTGCCCCTCCCACCCCCTGCTTTTGCACGCTCTCTCTCTCTCAAACAAATAAATAAAATCTTAAAAAAAAATAAAGATGGAAAATTTGGTTTTCTGACAAGAGAGTGAGTTGTTTTTATCTACTGTATGTTCAGTAGATAGCCCTTCAGGGGCAGAAGCAGGCCACCTACGGCTCTTCTGTATCTCCCAGAGAACCTGATTTACATGCACTAGATGATTAATCATTATTTGCCAATTTTAATTTATAAAATTTTGAATGAAGCCAGAATAACAAAAACATCCTTTCTAGTTTACCACATGAACTTTCTCGTAATGACATCACTGCCACAATGATAAAGATGAAACATTTGTCAGATGAATTTACTCAATTCTACATCAGGGCTGACCTAAGGCACCAGATGTAATCCTGCTCGCTTTCCCTTTCAGAATCTATCATTGGAAAGTATACAAAGTCACCATGTCAACAGCATTAGTTATTAGGGAACCGGAATTCAGAACCACCAAGAGATACCACTTCACACCCACTAGGATGGCGAGGATCAGAAAGACAGAGAAGCACAGGCATTGGTGAGGATGTGGAGAAATCGGAAGCTTCATATGCTGATGGTGGGAATGTAAAATGGTGCAGCCACTAAGGAAAGCAGGTTAGCAATTCCTACCAAAGTTAAACACAGAGTTACCATGGACACAGCAACTCTCTTACTGAGTATATACCCCAGAGAATTGAAAACAGGTGTTAAAAAAAATTGTACACACCATTCTTAGCAGCATTATTCATAATAAGAGCCAAAAGGTGAAAACAACCCAAATGTCCATCATCCAATAAATGGATAAAATGTGGTTTATCCACACAATGGAATATTGATCAGCAGTAAAAGGAATAAAGTACAGACCTACTCTACAACATGGATGAAACTTGAACACAAGTCATGCTGAGCGAAAGACACCAGACACAAAGGCCATATATCATATAGGATTCCATTTATATGAAACGTCCAGAAGAGACAAACCCATAGAGAGAGAAAGTGGATTTGTGGTTACCCAGAGGTTAGGAAGACAGGGGAATGAGGAGTGACAGCTGATGGGTACGGGGTTTCTTTTGGGGTGATGAAATTGTTCTAGAATTTGATAATGGTGATGATTGCACAACTCTGAATATACTAAAAACCACTAAACTGTATACTTTAGAAGGGTGAACTTTATGGTATGTGAATTGAATCTCAAGAAAGCTATAATTTAAAATTTTTTAAATAAAAATAACTATGATTAGAATTAATACAAGGAAGAAAATTAAGTTGTTAGTGGAGCAGCATAAATAAAAAAGGAAGACTGGCCATACAGGAATATTTTTAAAATAATAATTATAGTACATTATAACATTATATAAAGATTATATGTTGCTCTCCACGAATTTACTTTGTTCCCAACACTTTGTATTGTTTTGTACTTATTTTGAAAATGCTGCCTAGAGGCAAATTATAATTAATATTTGGTTACTAATTCGGCCTGGGCTAGGGAAGTAGAAAGATGACATAAGTGAAGTGAAAAACATACACATACATCATGATTTTCCAGAAGAAGAAGAAGGAGGAGGAGGAGGAGGAAGGGGAGGAGGAGGGGAAGAAGAAGAAGAGGAAGAAGAAGGAGGAGAAGAAGGAGAAGAAGAAGAAACAAAAATACCAATAAAACCATTGACTTTCATGCCAAATAAAAGCCCAAAAATCCAAAGTAAATGAAAAGAATATGCTATAAGCCCTCTTAGACAAAAGAAAATGAAAAATATTCATAATAATAGTAGTAATTCCATCCAATTCCAAAACAGTCACTCTCCTGTTTGCAAACAATTATTTAGTAAATATCTGTTCCAATTATACTTTGATTTAAAAAAACAAACAAACACATCAATGTATGCAGAAGTGAAAGGTCAAGGAAAGTACATAATATTTTCATACCAGAAGTCCAAAGGTAAATTCCAATTCGTGCTCACTGGGGAAAATGATAGTCTGCAAATCTTCTTCCCAACGGCCCTCCTCTCAGCATGGTTCCTTATCCTTTGGTGTGAATTTTTAGATGGGTACAATGTTCCTGTTTACTTGGAGCTTTTCTGCAGGAAACGGACTTCAAACAGAATTCCCATTTTGAATACAGCATTCAAGTTCAAGCTTATCACGGTCAACAAGGCTATGTAAAGAATTCCAGGTGTGCAAACTAATTCCTGAAACAAAGCGCCTTCACTCTGTATCAGCTTAAAAAGACGTAAGTGTTACAGTCTACATGGTGATTCTTTTCCACCTAAGGGAAAGAAGATGAATTTTTCTCCTCTGAGCCGGACACCAATGCAGGATGACCTCTTCCAAAACAGCCTGAACAGGGACCGAGCAGAAAAGATGATGACTCTGCAGCTCCACGGGAACCTGACCGAAGGTTCCTCGCTTCCATTCTTCAGGGGGAACGGGCCATTCTCAGCGGGAAGACATGGAAGGGGCAGAGGATAGTCCTGACTTGGTGCCCCACAGCGGAGGAAACAGTGCAGTCCTACCCAGCAGAAAGCAGTCCTACCCTTGCTGCCACCAGAGCCCAGCTACTCAAGGATTAGCATTCTGCAAAGTGAGAGTGGATCAAGAAGGCGTTCATCTGACAAAGGAGCTTAGGACACTCTACTTTCCTTGGAAATTCACAATGAAGCTATTCAAGGATCTGAATAATCCGACAGTCAGAAATCATTAGCCTTGTTTAAATCACATAGCTAATCACAGAACCTTTTTTTTAACTATAACGCATACAAATCTACTAATGTCCAGTAATATACACTTGGAGAAATGCTCGTCCATATTCATAATATTCCATGTTTTAGCTAAATTTTTTGACTTGGGTTGCGATAAGTGTTGCCAGAGAAAACACAGGATGTCCACTTAGGTTTGAATTTTAAATGAACAGCGAAAACTTTTTCATATTAAGTATGTCCCATGCCGCACTTTTATTTGCTAAATCTGACAACCCTGAACGAAACTTGTGGGACTGGAAATGCCTCTAGTCACCATTCCACTGTGTATCCTACTTACCCCTCCCTGCAGCCTTTGTGACCCGACTCGGAAATGCAGCACGCTAGTTACATGGGCCACCATTACAATGAAGGTCGTTAGTTACCTTCTTCAGGGTAGCACTCGGGGACCCCGCTGGAGCCTGTTACGAGGTTGCCATCTTCATCATGCCGTTCTAGGGTCCCAGGGGGACAGGTGGGAATGGGGGTAGTGGGTTCAGGGGTGGTGGTGGTGGTGGTGGTCGTCTGCGTAGTGGTTCGAATGGTGGTGGTTGGGCGTGTAGTGGGGGCTGTGCGGCGGGTGGTGGTGGTTGTGGGCCTCGGGGTCATCGTGGTAGGTCGTGCAGTTGTAGTGGGGGCATGGGTGGTTGTTCTGACAACCTCCAAGCCCACCAGAGGCTTCCCTCCAAGACTCAGAATGGGCTTATCCTGGGCACTGGCCACAGGTTTGCCATGCCGCCCCTGCCCAAAGAGGGGCAGGCCATCTGGGCTCACCACCGGGGTCCCTCCCAGATCTGAAACAAAAGCAGACAAAAGCTGTGCAACGAGATGAGATCATCCAGAGGAAGTAAAAACCAAACGCAAAGTGTCTTCTCAAAGCTTATGGATTCTTACATTCGAATCAGTAAAAGGCAAAGGAAGCATTAAAAGGATATTCAGCAGAGGTAGCAATATCTGCTGCCATCCAGAAATTTCTGGGCTTCTTATATTGTCCCTTACTCTATATTACTTTATATAATCCTGTAAATACTTCATTGATATGCCCCATTACCCTGAAATAACTCTTGGTCTCTAGTCAAGAAAGTAACTCTTTCCTCCTCTTGATTCCTACACCTAAGGAGGAAGAGTGTTACATTGTACCTGGGGTGGCAAACTTACTCTGTAAAGCACCAGAGAAGATAGAGGGCCAGGTATTTTAAGCTTCACGTTGCAGCTTCTCAACTCTGCCATTGTAGGGCAAAAAAGCACGGAGAGTACACAGACAAATGAGTGTGTCTATGTTCCAGTACAACTTGGGTTGGACACTGAAATGTGAATTTCAAATAATTTTCACATGTCACAAATATTATTATTCTGATATTTTTTTCTTGCAATCATTTAAAAGGGAAGAAACTATTTTGAGCTCACAGGCAGTACAAAAACAGGCAGCAGACAGGGTTTGGTCTCCGTGCTGTCGTTTGCAGACCCCTGCTGCTCTGGGCTGCCCTATCTCAAGAAGGAACTCAAGCACCAACTTTTTGTGGAGGATGGAATCTGTAGGAAGAGTAGAACTACAGTTGTATTGGGGGAAAAGCTAAGTTCTGCCCCTTTGGAAAACTCCTTTCCACATGGCTAAAAGTAACTGGACCGAGGGTCCCCATTAAAAATCGGCAGGGGGTTATCTTATAGCAAATTCAGAACACTTTTTGTTGCCTAAAAACCATTCTCACTTACCCACAATGGTGCGACCATCTCCTCCTAGTTTAATCCGAAGAGGATTTCCTTGTGAATCCTGGAGGTACCTTCCTTCTGCATTCAATACTAACCCACGATCGAGATCGACGACCTAAATCCATGACACAGATTAAAGAATATACTGAGCATGAATCCACCTACATGAACATATCCAAGAAGCCTCCACAGAAGGAAACCATAATGTGAGTAGGAAACATTATTTCTGTCCACATCATTCACAAGGCTTAATAAGAATAAAGTGCAGGGCACATGGGTGGCTCAGATGGTTAGGCGTCTGCCTTCAGCTCAGGTCATGATCACAGGGTCCTGGGATTGAGTCCCGCATCGGGCTCCCTGCTCAGCCGGGAGCCTGCTTCTCCCTCTCCCTCTGCCTCTCTCCCTGCTCATGCTCTCTCTCTCTGTCTCTCTCTCTGTATCTCTGTGTCTCAAATGAATAAATAAAATCTTTAAAAAAATAAATAAAATAAAATAAAAGAATAAAGTGCAAAACCGTCCCATTTCATATTATAATTACTTAACCATAGAATATATAAATTAAGTTTCTCAAATATGCAAAAGATGTTCATAATACTGCTACCATTTAGTACGCTGTGTGTAATGTTGAAAAGCAGCAAACAACTTAAGTGTTCATCAATGGAAGGAAGGGATTAAATAAAATATGGCCCATTCACACAGTGGAATGCTAGCAGCCAATGAAAAGGATTTGGAAATTCTACATATATTGACATCAGCTGCTATGAACTGACTATTTTGCAGAAATAAAAATATATTCATTTGTGTATATAAGCTTAAAACTGCAGAGAAAAATAATCTGGACAGACATATCCCAAACTGTTAGCAGTAGTTATCTCTGGGGAGTGGTTTGGGATGTTGATTAGCTTAGAAACTATCTTTCTCAGGGCACCTGGGTGGCTCAGTTGGTTAAGTGACTGCCTTCGGCTCAGGTCATGATCCTGGAGTCCCAGGATCGAGTCCCACATCGGGTTCCCTGCTCAGCAGGGAGTCTGCTTCTCCCTCTGACCCTCTTCCCTCTCATGCTCACTGTCTCTCTTTCTCAAATAAATAAATAAAATCTTTTTTAAAAAAAGAAACTATCTTTTTCACATATTTCTGAATTGTTTTAACTTCTTGCCATGAACATGTATTGCTAGTGTATTAAAAACATGAAATGTTGGGGCGCCTGGGTGGCTCAGTCGTTACGCGCCTGCCTTCGGCTCAGGTCATGGTCCCAGGGTCCTGGGATCGAGCCCCGCATCGGGCTCCCTGCTCCGTGGGAAGCCTGCTTCTCCCTCTCCCGCTCCCCCTGCTTGTGTTCCCTCTCTCGCTGTGTCTCTCTGTCATATAAATAAATAAAATCTTTAAAAAAAAAAAAAAACATGAAATGTTTCCATCTGGCTGTTAATGTCAAAAATTGAAGTTGCTATAACAAAAATAATTTAATTTGCAATTAAATTGCCTAATATAGAATACAGGCAAAAATGTCATATTCTCAGGAATTGTAATACTTTGGGGAGGGGGGAAGCTATTATTATCCCTATTAAGGAACAAGCTCATGCTCTACACTGGTGGTTCTCAAAGTGTGGCCTGGACCAGCAGCCTCAGCGTCCCCTGGGAACTTGACAGATATGCTAATTACCTAGCTCTACCCCAGAGCTTATTTGACAAGCCCCCAGAGACTCTGATGCTCTGTAATGTCTGAGAACCATGACTCTGCACAGCAGGCCACTGGAGGAACCCCTGCCAAAAGTCCACTTTGTTGGATGCTAAAATAAAATGTATTTATATAAACCCTTCTTTTGAACTCTACTCCATACTGTTTCAATGCAAAATTGTTTGAATGATATTTCACTTTAATATACATTCTTACTTTATAAATTCCTGCTCCTTTGAAAAATGTTAAAGTGTACCTTGTTACCTGTGACCAAAAATTTTATAAAGTCTCTCAATATGTTTTCCTAAATCTTACTGCTATAAAGGGGAAATTTTGACTGGGAATTCCTAGTCAAAATATGAATAATTTTGTGATTCTCTGAAAAAATCTTTTAAATCCTTGAACATTGTAAAAGTGTTCTGCCCATTACCCTCTAACTTACCAAAAACCCCTAAACATTTAACCCCGGGAAGTTAAAGTCATTTAGCTTAAACGCATTATAAAATACTAATAATTGTTTTTCTGTTTCGGTCGAACAATGATCATTGGAAAATTCAAAGGTGCTCTAATAAAAATTGCCTAATTGATCCAGGGTTTTTTGGTTTGTTCATTTGTTTTTACCCTGCTTTCTTTTATGAAGGATATGGGACAATTTACAGAAAAATGTGTATACTAGTTGATCAAATAACAAAGAATAAAGATAAAATGAAGCTATCAGAGGTGGAGAAAAAGAAGTCCATTTAAGGGGCTAAGTATCAGGGTCTATGTAATTGCTGTGGGGTTGGAACATACATTTGTGTGATCTTCCTAACCAGTCAAAGCAAACAGGAAATAAAGGGCCCACTTATCATATTAGCTACGAGAAGAAAGCAAACTAATTATTCAGGAGAATAAAAGATCTTTCTGAGCAATGGAAGAAGCAATATAAGAATATATTGACATATGAGTGGTTAAAACTGGAGAAGAAAAATGAAAGACCATTTCATTTATTGCTACACATGCCCACCATTTTTCTCTTCCCAACAGCATGAAAACAACCAGTATGTGTAAAGAAGTTTACCCTACCCACTTTGTTCCTTGAGGGCCATTGATAATTCTTTGTCCACTTGGTTTCCCATTACTACCAGGAAGCACTTTCCCTTCTACATTTGGTCGGCCATTGTAACCTACATGGCACACAAAAGAAAACAAAAGCAACAACAACAACAAAAGAATCTGCTAAACTCAACACTCCTGTAAAGTTGGCTTCATACCAAACTCTAAGTAGTAACATATCATTTTGAACAGAAATACTAAACAGAATTTTAAGCCAGTAACTTGTATATATTAGACGACAGTCTTAAATTGTAACTTCTAAATACCAAAAATGAAAGTCTATGAAGAGTACAGTAAAGTCACAGTTTTCTGCCAATACTGGGGAAAGGAGAGAGTCCACGTACGTAAATTTTCTAAATAAAGCTTAGGACGGTAGTGGCTATAGTGTTATTTTAGCCAGTTGGAAGATAGAGGGAAGGAAAGTTGGAAGGATGAACACTCTCTAAAATATACTAGATGCTGTCCTGCTCTTCTCAGCAGATTATACTAAACCCAACAAGTATTTCTAGCTGAATCAGGTCCAGTCGTCAATCGCCAAGTGTAAATGCTCAGTGCTGACCTGTGTGGGGCTGCTTGAGAAGTGTCTGCTCAGAGATGAAGTAGAAGGTCCAGTTAGCTGCCCTTTCCATTGCTGTTCTGTCTGCTCCTAGCATTTGCCCTTCCTCTTCATCTCTCAGCATTTCTGATCGGCTACAGTTAGTCGAGGTCTGCGCTGGGAGCACTCTGGTCCAGCCCCACCCACGGCATAAAGTACTTGGGCTTTCTGACAACTATTTGAGGGTCAGAGACTTACTTTTCTCACTCAAATAGCTAGTGAAAATTAAATATTTATTGATTTTCCGCTATATACAGGGAATGTGGATTTTACATCTATTATCAGGGTCTTAGGTTTGCTCAAAATAGTCTATTTAAATAGTAAACTGACCTCTATATGGGGCATTGTTCTATTTCTTTACATTGGGCTAAGCTAATAACACATAGTACAGACTAACAAACACTAATGCATTCATTCAAGAATCTTCCATTAAGCCCAAATTCCATGCAAGGAGAGTGCAAGATGTCACTAAACCGAATGCAGACCTGGACTAAATACCCTAGATCCTGCCCTGGGGTCCATGGAGACTCCAATTCATAGCTGTCTACATTGTGTTCTCAACATAAGTCACACATCTGTCTCTTACTCCTCCATGTGACAATCATCTTTAACATGCATTTTCTGGAGGTTTTAAATAACATGCACTGATTGCAATGTCTGAGCAATTCACACCCAAGACATTTGAGTCTGTCCCAGGGTATGTTGAGAGTTTTATATGCAGAATCAACAAGAACAAGATCCAGCTTACGCAGTTACCTAATTCCTTTCTGTGGATTCTTTAAATATACACTGGCAGGTGAGCAACTAAAAATAACCTAAAATACAAGAACCTTAGTTTGGCATCATGACTGTGACGCATTTTCACAGATTAAGAGCCTAAGTTGGGGAATTTAAAGAGGCAGTATGTGATAGAGGAATGGCAGAGGCCTGAGGAATTAGCACATCTGGGATGGGAACTGTGGCTCAGCCACATAGGCTGCCTGACCTCTGGCAAGCCACTCAGGCCCCTGGGCCCTAGTCTGCTCATCTGAAAACCAGCAGAAGCAATGCAAGAGGCAGTTAAGAGGATGAAATCAGTTTCATCTGTAAAGCTCTTAACATAGTGCTTGGACATAGCAGACCCTCGATAATATAAAATAAAAGCCTCTCAAGAATTGCTATGAACCCTCTTGAGAGCCCCAAAGAGAATGTTAAGTTAAAAACGAATTACCTTGTCTGGTAGGGGATCTGGCAGGCTGGCGCGAGAAGGGGTTCCGGAATCTTGAGTTCATCATGCGCTGGCGCAAGGAGAGCATAGGGGTGGTGGAGGAATAAACAGGAGGGGCGTGGGTGGTGTACCGCACGCTGGCAGGGGTGCCCGCGGTGGGGCTTGGGGTGGCAGGGCTGCGGTGGGGGTGTCTGGGCGGGAGGTGTGAGGCTCTCGGGGAGCTGCTGGGAGGGGGGTAAGGAGGACGCTTCACAGGAGTGTCGTTCTTGTCCTGGGGGGAGCTCACCCTGGGAAGCGAGAGCACAATGGCAGGGTCCGTCTTGTCCTTAGCGATGTTCCCATCCACATATTTGCTGCCCCTGGGACTGGAGGAGGAGGGCCACTTTGGAACAGAGGAGGACAGAGGGTCCTCGTCCTTTCCTCTTTTAAAAAACATCGCGTCTTCACCCTCCTCCTCTGCCGAGACCGACTGCTGAGATTTAGAGGTCAGGGGCTCCCTTTTGGACGGCACGGCCTGAGAAGCGCGGTCCTTGCTCCCCACAGCCTGGGGCCCCGCTCGGCCCGGGACCCTCGGGCGGGCGTGGGGGTAGTGGCGGGGGCTGCCGGGCCGCAGCGGGGAGCCTGGGGGTCTGCGGAGATGACTGTCGCCCGCGCCTCCTGCGTGAGCCTCCAGCTGGCGGTGCTTGGGAAGGGACAGGATGGGGTCCCCGGCCTGGGCCAGGTGTGCTGGCGCCCGGGAGCCTCGGGCCTCTGCTTCGGTGCTGTCGTGGTGGTTTCCGCCAGATCTGCCCTCGGAATCCTCGTCCCGATGGTGCGGAGACGTGGGGAGCACCCCTCGGGAGCTTGCCGTGTGGGGGGACTGACTGCCTCTGGCCGCGTAGGGGTCCGAGAAGGAGGCGCTTTCCTGCGCCGCGGGGTGGGGACGCCCAGCCTGGGGCAGCTCGGGCTTGGGTTTGGACAGCGGACGCCCCACTTCCTTGCTCGGGGGGCCTTGGGGCTGTGGCTGCGACACGGAGACCGCAGGGGAAGGCTGCCCTTCCGAAGCGGCGGCCCCCGCACCCAGGCCCTGGCCGGGTGCCATCCTTTTGGGCACGCCGGGCGCGGGGTGGTGCTGGGACCGCGTCGCAGGCCGCGGAGCGGGGGCCAACTGCGCCTTCGGAGAGCCGCCCTCCACACCCACTTCTGTGCTCTGTTGAACATCCAGCGCCTTGGAGGGCAGGGATTTGCCCCGAGGATGCGCACCTGCCTCGGTCCCGGCCGATTTGGGGTTCTCGGCCAGGGGCTCCTTCCGAGGAACGCTCACCCCTCTCTGCGGGCCTTTTCTTAGGTGGTCCACGCCCAGGGAGGCGGGCTGCCTGGAGGAGGAAGACACGCGGTCGTTTACCACCGCGGCAGGCAGCGGCTTCTCGTCCTCTGCTTCGCTCTCGGCGCCGTCTCCATGGATACCGGAGCCACGCCTGGGGTCCGAAGCTGGGTGGGAATTCACCCTCCAGGGGCCTCTGGGGGTTACGGTGGCCGGTGGAGAGCTGGAGGGATGCAACCGGGGTCCTCGGCCACTGCCAAAGCGGCTTGGATATCTCGTGTGGGCAGCAAAGGGCTTGTTTCTGAACAAACTGAAATGTCCAGAGACAGGCGGACCTGCGGGCAGCCGGGCCCGAGACGTGGGGGCCGTGGCCTCAGCCTGCCTGCCTCTAACTTCTGCATCACCGTCACCATCGCCGTCAGAGGCACCCTCTCCCTCAGACACCGGTGTCCTTGAGGAGAGACCAGAAGACGAGGAAGACTTGGACTGTGATGGCGCGCCGGACTTGGGGGCTGGGGCGTCCTGACCATCCTTCCAGCCCCTGGACACGGGAGCCCCGGGGTGTGGCTCTGTCGGCAGCAGCCGAGATGACCCTCCCTGGGGCAGAGAAAGTTTCGAGGGTGAGACTGAAGCACCCGAATTTCCCTCCCTACCCCCAAAATGGGGTGCTCTCCGCGCAGGCAAGGCTGGTTTTGTGCCGTGGTGCACAGGGCCTCTGTCCCGCAGGGCGCTCGACGTGGCCTGGCGGCTGGGCCACAGGGCCGGCCGAGCCTGGGCGGTGCTCTTGGGAGGCAGCCGCTGGGAGGCAGCGTCCTTGGGGTGCCGGGAGTCTGCGGCTGGCTCCTCCTCTTCTTGGCCCACGGAGTCATTGTCAGTAGGGCTGGGGGGCAGGTTGGTGGAGGGCGCCACTGGAGGGCGGTGAGGGCTACCCTCAATGGGTGTGTGTGCTGCAGAGGAGGACGCCCCTGGACGAGGGTGGGAAGCCAGAGAGGAGCCACCCCGGTCTGCCCCTTCCTTTTGGGGCAGCACCCTCACTGGGGTCCTCCCAGGAGCAAGGACTGGGGACACAGATCTACTTGGTGGCCTCTGCTGTGGCTTCTGGTCTTGGGTCTCCGAGGGCAGCATTGGTGGGTCCCCCCGGGAATCCAGCCCCTCCTCATCGGTGATTTCTGTCAACTGAAGATCCAACCCCTCAGTCCTCTTAGGGTGAAGCTGGGGTTTTCTGGGCATCCCACCATTAGCCAGTATTTTGTTCTTCAAGTCAAGAAGAGGGTTTTTGACATTTCTGCCTCGCAGAGAAATAGGCAAATGAGTGTGTTTTGAGGAAGTGGGCGCTTTGGGAGAAGCTTCTGGCTTTTCAGATTTCCAGTCATCCTCAGCATGGGTCTTCTGCTGCACATTGGACTCACCAGAACCGGCTATAATAGATTTTAAAGATTCTGCCGTCAAAAAAATTGAAAGCTGAGAAACATCAGGTGAGTATTTCAGATGGCAGTGTGGAGGCATTTATAATTAGTCATTATAATTAATAACTTCTCATTCTTTAGGCATTGAACACATTTTCCAAATTATGGCAACCTCTTTTAAAGACCTCTTTTGCTTTAAGTGATGATATGGTCCCAGAAAATGTGTATTAAATTTCTATAAATTGAGTTAAGTTACAGCTTATTATTTGCAGAACTTTTGAAAGGAGTGCTTTAAAGTAATCCATCAATTTTCTGAATGCAAAATCTTATGTAAGATTTTCTCCATATAACTGTCAGGATACTACAGATGTATTATAGCCACTCTTAGTGATGTAGGGAAGAAATACACATAAGCCTGGCTCAAAGTGCTGAAGGATCTATACTCAAAACTAAATGGGGATGTGTTGTGTGTGATTTGCAGGTGACAGGTGAGGAATAAATCTGTAATTTTTAAGGCATTACAAAGAGTTTCCTGTTCCCCCTAACATGTCTAAACTTGCTTTCTCTTTCTTACTTAAAATCCCTTTAATAAATACATTTGTAATCCCAAAATAAGCCTAAACTAAAAAGATACCTGGGGTAGGCAAAACATTTTATTACAGGGGCCCTACAAGTTACCCTTTCTTGAAAGCAGGGTTGAATGAAGGAAGGGATGCTGCGGGGGGGGGGGGGGGGGCAGTTATATGGCAATGGGGGCCCAGAAGGAGCAAACCTCATCTATTCCAGTTTTTCTAGCACAGAACTGTTTAATATTGCAGTATACTGTGAATCCTCACGGCACACCATGCAGGAGACAGCTACCAATATCTGGTATAAATATGGGGAAGCAGAAAAGAAAATACAGTCCAAAAACACCTCACTCCAATTTGGGATTTTATTAACTTGCTCAATTTTGATAGTGATCAGATAACAAGGTAATTGAAATTCTTCTGACTAAACCTGCACTCCAAAATAATGGAATATAAACTAAAAATCTTAAGTGCTATCTAGAAGTTGAAGAGGGCTAACAATTAAAAATGTCACCTTACACCTGTAAAAATGCTCTTTACCTGTCATCATAAGCCCCAAATTACACAATGATATAAGATCAATCACATAATTAATACATTCATGTTACTGTAATATTGTAATAGTAATTCATGTGACTAGCCATCAATCATCTTTTAGCCTCCAGGGAGACTAATTTCCAAAGGGATAACAAAAATATTTTAGAAATCAACAGGAAAATGTAGCCCCCCAAATCATCAACAAAGCAGTTCTAAATCCATGAGCATGATTCAAAGTAACACACCACAATTAGCGGTAATGAAGAGAGAGAAAGAGCCACAAACACACAATGCTTACTTGGCATAGCGACAATGAAGGCTTTGGAGTGAGGACCCAGTCCTCTCCTGTTTGCGGCCCGGATTTTGAAAAGATAGCGTTCCCCAGGCTGCAGACCATCCACTAGGGCAGAAGTAGTTTCTCCGGGATAGGTGAGGGACTTTGCTCCAAATGGTTTGAGAGCCGGGGCGTATGAAAGAATGTATTCTGAAATGATTTGGCAGACGGTTGGAAGGAGGAAACTGAAAACAGTCCTGTGTCCAGCAGACAGACTGTATGGGCAGGATGAATTAGAACGTGCATTACTAAAATTAATACTCTAGCAATGCACGCCAAGTCAGCAGCTGGAGCATAAAGACACAGAGGAAGGTGAACTAACATTCATTCAGGCTACCAGACAAGGCCATGGGCAGTTTTCCATTCTCAGCAAATTAAACATATGGAACCCAGGAGGCGTTGTCTTCATACAACGTACCAAAACTATTTACACAGCATTGGGAGTTTTTCTTCATTGTGCTTATTTACTAGTTTACTATGTCAGCATTAATATATCCTGAGTAGAAGAAGCCATGGAAGATTTAAATGACAACAGTCATAACTGAATCTGAAAAGCTACCAACACCTTTAAGAGTCTTGGTGTACTGATCTGGGCTATTTGTGCATTAAGCCAGGTAAATTCCATATTTGGAGTATAATTTCACTTTTGCAGGAATTACAGTCCTGACTCAATATATCTGGGTAAGGATATTTCACAGTATTTAAAACTGTGAGGAAAAGTTGCCAGTTCACAGATTTATGTGATGTTTAATGTTTCCATCTCCAATCAGCGATATTTACAAACATGTAATATCCCTGAACTTTGAAAATCAGAGCAAATTCAGTCCAAGGAACTAATATAGCTCTGTGCTTCTATGGAAATGCTGTAAGGTAAGGAAGCCATGTTTTGAAGCAGAATTTCCACCCTCGACGAAAATAGACTCATGTCTATTTTCCTCTCAATGAACTCAAGATTTACAAAACTTATCAAATTAATGTGAGTAGGAGCTAACCACGAAAAATAATTTGAATCACAGAAAAACCAAGCAACTGTCATACTATCTATGTCATATGGAGAGAGCACCGAAGACCTTTTCTCTTCCCTGAGATCTAATCTTTAAAAAGTACATTAATTAAAAAACTTCAACCAAAAATGCCTTTGCAGCATTTGTCTGAAAAAAAAAAAAAAAAAACCCACATTCTTTTCTTTTTGGAAATGAACAAACTAGTCATTTGTGTTGGTCAAAAGTAAGAATTAAAAGAACCCACTGTCTATGAAATCTGGTAATACAGATTTTTTTATGAATTCAATTCATCTGGAAAAAAATGCAACCATGTCGAACTATATTCTTCTTTTATCTTTTATATTTGTCATACATATAAATTCCCCAGTGTAATTACGAATTTTAAGTCCCACCACCACTGCTTTATGAAAACTGCCTAAGTAGGGTTAAGATACATGAGTTCTTTTGGACCCAAAAACTCAGTAGCTATTATTATTTCTGAAAATATTTCATTGACTACCAGGGAGGTTTATTCGCCAAAGAGCTATAAATATAAACTAAGATGTGGGAGAGGGAAAGAAAGCAAATAAGTAGCATGATAATAAAGTCATGAAAGGAGCAACAATTGCTTTTTTATAACTAACAAAAGTCATCAGCCAAAAATGTCTTTATGCAATTTTCAGAATCTTTGCCAGCATCACAACAAACTGTCATAAAAAAGGATGATTTAAAGGGCAACTAAATATTTCTTCTCTTCATTTGTTTCTGATTTATTCCACTGGGGAAAAAATGAGCAAGAATAATACAATATATTCTTTAAAATCTGCAAGCAGATGAGAAAGCATTAAGTTTGGAAACTACTACCCCACATCTGCCTTCTAACTTCCATTGTTCCATGGAAAGATATCCTTACAGGTCCTCAAAGATAACTTAACAGTCGAATACAAGAGAACCTTTCAGTTTTTTCAATTAAGAAATTCTCAAAGGAGGTTAGTGATAATTTTCTCAATTTCTTTACGCTTACACAGACCTTTCATAGTTTCTGGACATAGACTTAAGCTGTCTTCCAAAATCAAGTAATAATAAAACATACCCTTAGGGTATCTATGTATAGGCAATGTCTGGGGAAAACCACCCTACAGCCTTCTTAAATGTCTCTGAAAAGACTTCTGAAAGGTTCCTGAATGTTTTTACACAAAAAAAGAAGTAATTTGTGTTTTTATTTAATATCCTCAACAGATTATTTTTAAATTTAACTAGCTGTGAATATTTTATCCTATTTTAATTCCGTTTCATCTTTGTTTTTGTTTTTTTTTTCTATTTTAAGGTCATATTTTTTCCTCAACCAAAAAAATAATTAATTAAAAAGGCTGACAAATAGGAAAAAATCCATTTTCATTTAATTTTTATTACTTGGTTTTCAAACCCATTAAATATCTGGTCTTATTCAAGACATTTGTGGTCCCACAGAGTTCCTACTTACTCCCACATTCCATGATCTTATTGGTACAATGAGAAGATCCATAGCATGAAACACAAGGTTGTCACTTGTATGGCTAAAGGTTATGATGTCACACCCATACAATTAAAAACACCCTTCCTGATAGCAGCATCGGAATCGTGGATAGGGAAGATGAAAAGTCATCTTCATGAGTACCTGGATCTTACTGACAATGAGAACCCTACATGAAATACCCTTGCCCGTTGGGTTAGCGACCCATATACGTATGTTGCTTCCCTATTGCTCTTCCAGTCACCAAGCCTGCTATTAGAACTGGTGTTTATCAGAGTCAATGTACACGTCTCTGTTTGGGGTATGTCACTCCTGTGTGCACCTGATACCTTAAATAATGAGGTTCCTACCTTTCACTTTCCCCTCGGTCTCGGGCAGTGCGTCCCAAGCTACAGTGACAACTGTAGGTTTGCCGTTGACTGGCCAGACGTTTAAGTTTTCAGGAGCTGTTGTAGGAGCTACAAAAGGACAAGGACCCAAGGTTTAAAAATGCCCTTGTGGATATTTTAAAAGTAAGTGACATATGGTCCCCACAGATAGATTTTTCACTGAAACACAATGTTCATTTTTATTATACATGACAGAAAATTCTACACTCTCATTACTCTTTGTGCAATATAGTGATTTATGTCAGTGCTACCAACTCATGTAGTGAGTTTAGACATATCCAGGGAAATGCCTTTAGAAATTTAGAATTTCTTTCATTGCTGAATTTTGAAATATGTAAAAAAGATTAAAATCCAGTTGGAACTTCTTTTTAATAAAGCTTTTAAAAACATCGTTTAAAAGACAATAATTGTACAGAGCACAATTCTCCCCCAGAATCAAACACAAGCCCAGCCTTAGGGAAAAAGAGTCTCCCCTAACCTCCAGAGCCATGCATTACCCAGGGGCATGCACACATCCAGTGGTGATTTATGATTATGCTCCATCCTGGGATGTAATGTACTCTACATGTCAGAATAACATGCTAATGAAGATGGCCAGTGGAGGATAAACATGGACCTAAGGCTACAGTGCCTGAGCTTCTTTGCGTTCGTACATAGAAACACTTCCCAGATTTAGGGTTAATGTTACTTTAAAAAATGCCTCTGCTGCCCTTTATCACCACTGGCTTCTTAAACTATCTTTAAATCTTATTTTCAGGGCAATTCCCAAATGGAAGATCCGAAGGCCATTTTAAATACAGACCAGATTCTGGTGTTCTCTGGAAGACAGATGTACTCCATTTGCCATCTCTTTCACCCTGTGAAATACGGACTGCGAATTCATACATGGTGTCTGGAATCAGGTTCTCGACCAACACGCGTCTGTGGGAGGTCTGCTTGTGATCCCACCTTGCCAATTCCCCCTTTTCTCGATAGCGTACAGTGTATTGTCTATAAGAAAATGCAAGGCAACAATGCACCCAGTTGACCAATTCTCTGCAACTGAACGCTAGGTTCCTTGCTATTTTCCCTTCCCCATAAGTAATGACTTTTGGAGGTGAGGAGAGAAATTAAAGAGGAGAAAAATCTACATTTTTGACTATGTTATTAAGTCAAAGAATTTACTCTTGTGTTCCAGGAAAGGTGTCTAAAGTCAGTCAGGAAAGATGGAGCTTAGTATCTTACTGCTCACGAGATCAAGCAGAGATTAAGAAGGGAAGGTACAGGAGGGGGACAGGTTTGACCAGGCAGGTGCCTTCTGAGGGGTGTGTGTGTATGTGGTGTGGAAAAAGCAATATTAAGAACTGAAACTGGCCCAAGGCATCTTGACTCTCCAGAAAAGACAGGAAGTTCCACTTCATGCCAAAGCAGGCATGTTTTCTATAGGTTCAGGAGGAAAGCCAACATGTGGTTTTGAGTAGAATTATTACCATGAGAAGGAGCAAAACTGTGTAATAAGCAGAGCAGGAGAGAAGAGCTTACAAAAGGAACCCTACTGTGTGATTATCAGGGAGAGAAACATTGTGAACAAACATGGTAATAACAATCCCAGACAGAAGACATCCTCCACACTCTAAGAGTTGCAAATACCATTTATTGTGTTCCTTTGCCAAGAAATTTTCTTTGCAGCCATTTGGCGGTATAAAGCATGTGAAGCATTAACGAGGCGATATTTAATAAATCAAGATAAGACTTCAGTTGCAGACACAGCCCACCAATTAATACAAGAGTCCTGCTAAGAAAACCCGGGCCCTTTTTCATTTTCATCAAGATATTGGAAATCAAAGTTCAGTGGTAATCAGGAACAAAATGGCTAGGAAGAGAATCACTATGAGCTTTCTCAGGTCTTTCAAACAAAGCAGATGTCTTTTCTTTTTCTTTACTAACAGACAGTAACAGAAACTGTATCTAATACAAATGGTGTGTGTGTGTGTGTATGTACATACATATATAAAGAATAAATATATATAATAAAAATATATACATAAAATACATATATAATCTTAGCATTATATTCCACTCTTTTTTTTAAAGGATGTTCACTTTTCCTGGTTGTAGGAAGGTTCAAAAGCTAATAAATAGTGCCTTAGTGGCCACCAAATCTTTGGCTTCCTCTTGGTAATATAAACAATTCAGTAGTTGAACACATAAAATTTTGACGGTTATATTAATCTACCACTAACAAGGAATGGTATTCACCGCTGGCTTTTTTAAACACAAAAATTACTTTAACCTATGATTGGTTTATCTTCTACTGCTATTGCAAATCAGTATAAAAATCTGAACAGCATAACATCATGGCTTACGAGACAAAACAGTGCCTTCTGCCATGCACAAATGAGCTAGACATAAAACAATTCAGTGTTTGAAGAATAAAGAACTACGGTGTGCAAGGCATTCAACAAATGTCCCCTTCTCTACATAAAAATCGTTCCTACTGTCACCCTTCCTGGATAACAGGAGGAAAGGTAAGACTCCTTCTAAGATGGGGCCACATCCTCTGCACACAAATAGATCACAGTGAGACAAAGCAAAACACAAATGGGGCAAAGAAAGAAACGGAATCTAGGGAATTTCCAGACACAAGATAAAACTCTGAGCAAGTGAGAGGTGAGGTCCTGCTGTGTGCGTTACACATGAGGCCTTGTCATATCCGATCTGCGGAAAATGTGTGACCGCACCTGAGACCAGCTAGATTGTCATAGAATAGTCTACCATTCAGCTACAGAAGAGGTCAGCATTCAGATATGTCAGAAGATATGGTCATTCAAATAAACACATGTCTCTGCAGGGCCAGAAAACAAAGAAATAATGGAAAGTACCTTGATGCAACAACTTTCTTCTGTTTTTCCAAAACAGGATCCACCCAGGCTACAAGCACGGATTGGGATGACATGACCCGGACATTGATGTCTTCAGGCACGTCTAGTTCATCCTCTTCTGAAATGACAGTGGGACACATTAAAGACTATCTCTACAGTAGGATCTGCCCTGAGTTCCTCTGGCCTCTAGAGTTCATTATTCATGCTGTATAATTTTTAAATTGCTTACACTTGATGTCGATAAAATGAAATGAATAGAAATCTAAGCAATTGTTTGCTTGGTCAATGTAAAAAAACCAAACTCTCCATTCCTGTTCTTCTTATCCACAGTCTAAGAAATGGGCCATTCACTTGTAAAGTTGCCCAATCCAGCTGACGTAAAGAACAGTGCAAAAGGGATGCTTCGCCTTGGTCCAAGATACTCCAAGTAACTCAGTGTTTTCTTAACACATACTGTAAGTTTCTGGGAAATACAACAAGATTTACAGGAAGCAAAAGTTTTGGGGGAGAAAAGGTCAAGCCAGAGCATTTCCTTAGCGATCATGGCATGAAATGAAATTCAAACAAATGTACAAATCACATTGGGTTCAGTGTCCTCCCATTTTAGAAAATATGGTTCCAAGACACATTAAAAGTTACATTCAGACATAAAATAGAATTCAGTTTGCCAATTTCCAAGAGAATACATCATACTCACAAAGCCTATAGTTTCTGTTCGATCTCCCCAAAACAAAGACCTACAGGCTTCAATTTTGCTTTTAGTATCTTGGGGGTTTTGTTTGTTTTTTTTATTTTCACCTTTCAGGGACCATGTTTCAAAAGGATGTGACTTTTGTTACAAGTAAGGGAAGGTGGAAATAGCCTGTTAGAAAAGCAATGCAGGCACTTTTTCTATAGCAGTAAATAACGAAAAATAAAAATGCAACATCATATATTTGAGACTTCTGTCACACAACGTAAGCAACTATAATCATAAATGTAAAATGATAATATAGAAATACACATAATAATTTAATATCTGCTCTGTAATATTAAACAATAATCACAAATAAATTGTGAATTCATGAAAATAACCATGCTGCAGGCTGCCTCTTTAAATTAAGGTGCAAGACCCAGAATAGGTATGTGTAATTTATTAATATGTAATATAAAAAAATCTGTGAAAGGATGTAGGGAAAAAGCATCCCTTAGTAAATGACCAATGATCAGGTTATGAGCAAGCCTCTGCTACATTTTTCTCACTCTTCTCAATGTTAGGGTTGAGGTAATTTTGGCTAAAATGAAGTATGAGTGCCGATCTTGCACCCTGTCCCCTCCACACCTACTCTTATTTCTCTCTGTTCCCGGGCTGCCACAAAGGGCAACTGATATGTGGGTTAGACTGTGGCTTTAAATGGAGCAAATGCTTGGCTGCTCCTATGGCAGTAAATCCGCTGCACGGGGAAGCCATTCAAAATACACAGAGACATATACTTCATTGGAAGAACACTCTCATCTCTGAGTATAAAAGAAATAAGCTCGTGTCCGAAATGTGACCAAGCCGGTCCTGTGGTTTCCTTCATACTCAGTGAAATCCATGTAATTCGCCACTCACGCAGCATCATTTGGAAACAACCCTGCATCCACACAGACAATGATATGAGCAGGTGCGTCCTTGGAAACATACCTGAAATCTTCCGTTTCGTTAGGGCAGCCCTGTAGACAGGCTGACTCTGCCCCTGTGAGTTCATGGACCGCAGGGAGACCACGTACACCGATTCCGAGGCTGTGAACCAACCGGCAAGGGATGAGGCTCTGCGTTTGGCTTTCCAGAACGCACACCCTCTTTGTCCGCATCCCCCTCCCCTCCACTCCCTTCCCATCTCGTCTTTCTGGGGCATTCCAACTGCTTCAGGACAATTAAAGATGAGACCAAGAACATTAGAAACTAGGCCTAAGAAGAACATTATTATGTGAGAAAATATGGAATGATATTACCCATAATTCTTGAGAAATGGGTTTCTATTTCCTCAACATCAAAGAAAGATGAACAATGCTTTAAAAAAAAAAAAAGAACAGTATATTTACCCACAGAATTCCCCCAATTTCTTTTTACCTCCAAATAGAGAAGAGGGGTCAGTCTGTTTTTTTATCTGTCATCCAAAAGAAGGGAGCAAGACAAGAACAGTGAGTGTACCAGGTTATCAGTCCAGAGAGGATGCTGGGCCCTCGGAAACTGAAATCCTCAGAACTGAGCCTCCAAAGATTTGCTAAGAGCAAATGTAAGAGTTTAAATATATCTTTTATTTCTGGATTGTTCTTTCCGTTAGTTCCCTCTACCCCACACTCCAAATTGTACATTGGGTCCAGTAGTAGCCAACCGAATCTAAACTTGAAAACTTTATTTGGAAAAAAATTACAATGATGAAATAAAACTTATAACTCTTGAGTACCATGGAATCATAAAATCTGGGATCCCAATGAAACCTTGATTAAATTCCAAGTTGGCCTTCTTATTTTATAAGTAAGGACATAAAGCCATGAGAAAATTGATTGATTTGCCCACAGTCATGCCCCTAAGAAGGACTCATAATCTTCTCTGAATCCAGAGTCACTGATGCCTAACTCCAGGCTCTATTGACTGGGCTTCCAGCAGCAGCCTTAATTAGTTCAAGAAAAAAATGAGGCAATATGATATATTTCTTTATTTTTAAAATTTTTTTTGAGGTAGAGCAAGCATGGAGAGGGCAGGGAGCAGATGGAGAGGGAGAGAGAGAACCTTAAGCAGGCTCCATGCTCAGCATGGAGCCTGACTGGGGCTCAATCTCACCACTCTGAGATCGGGTGAGCCCAAATCAAGAGTGAGACGCTTAAAGGGCTGAGCCACCCAGGCTCCCCAATATGATATATTTCTAATCATACACCATCAGGTAATACACCATCAGGTAATACTTAAGCAAGTTAGTAGAGGTGACAGAGATCCTAATGAGAACTTGTAACACTGTAGGTCTTCCTTCAGGCATTGCAAACTTTCACAGTAATGGGAAAATAAACCTTTTGTTTTTACAAACAGCATGTCAGTTAAACATAAAAGGAGACCAGTGTTCAGAAACCTCACCCAGAGAAACTTATAAACTGCTGTAGGCCAGTCACATTTCAGGAGAAGGGGATAATATCTGACAACCTTTGAACAGCCTCTCTCTCTCTCTCTCTCTCTCTCTCTCTCCACACAAACACACACACACACACACACACACATATAGGGCAGGTGAAACTCATGCTGTGATGAGTAAATTATTATTTAGGCTAAGGCTCTGACATGCTACCACTGAATTTTGAAATGTATGTTTTATAAAAGGGAAAAATCAAGTTTGTAACATTGGGATTCATAGAGCATAAAACTAAGCTTCCAAAAAGAGGAGTCCCTGAAGACGGTCAATTTCTTGGTGCTATTGACAAAGGAAGCAGCCAAAGGTCAACAAAGAAAAACTCTGCCATCCAACCTCGCAATCCAGGACCACATATAAAGAAACTGAAAAAGCAGTGCCCCATCATTTATCAAGAGCCCCCCAAAATTAATAATTTCCACAATTGACATTTTTACATACTTGTGATGTATTTCTTAAAGTTCCTAGGTTGTTGTTAACACCCAGATTCTTGACTTGCAAGCTCTCCACACTCGACCTGGCCCGAGGTTACCATGAAGGAAGAATAAACCAGAACAGCCCACGTGTCTGGGTCTGGTCTCTGCTGTGTTGAGTGTGTCACATCAGCTCCTCATTTAGTCCCGACAGAAGCCCATGAGGAAGCTACTCTCACAGTCTCCTTTTCACAGACGAGAAACCAGGTTCAGGGGGATGAGATGACCCACCCATGGTCCTGGACGAGGTGTCAGGGCCAGTGTGACACCCAGGATTTACTGCAGCAGGTGAGGAGAGAGCAGGGCGCAGAGCCAAGTGCCGGCTATGGAGCAACCATCTCTTTTTCACAGAAATAATGAAGACTCCCTGGGATGATAACACGCTCCATTCTGTGCCCCTGATCATTAGTACTCTGGAAATAAAATTTCTGAAATGACCTCAGCGTCACAGTGCCCCCAGGCACCACGGCCCCTCATCAGAGCCAGCATATCGGCTCACTTCCCCGACCTCAAGTGTGTGACTCGGTAGAAACTCTGGACTTGGGACTGTCCATCCTGACTTCCTGAAGGCCCCCAAACTCATGCACTCCTTCCTTATTACTGTCCCGCTCCCATGTGAGCCCCTGTGCTTCCTATGTCCTCTGGCCTCTGTCTCCCATGGCTGCCCGTGCTCCCCTGGATGGGACTCAGCCCGGGGCTCCCACCCCGGCACTTCCGGCCTCCCGGGCCTGCTCTAAGGTCTCTGCTTTCACGACACTCTGTCCCTGGTCTGTCTCTGTGGAGGGCTGCTGGGGCCCCAGCGCCCCCTGGGGAGCCTGACATAGAAGACGTCCAATCATATGCACTTCGGGAATGGCTGGGAGGGTGGGAGTTTTGCTGACAGGACCTCGGGCCCACCTCTCTCCAAGTTTCCTTGGCCACCCTCTGCGGGTACCATGCTCTCGATGGCATCTCGGTCATAAACGGAAGTAAAATCCTATGTAGGATAAAATGAGGACACTGGCCTGCCATGACACAGCAGGCCCCCTGTGATGCCCGCCCCCCCCCCCCCCGCCCGGGATTCACTGCATCCTCCCCACCATGATCGAGCAAGCATCCAGGGAGCCCTCTCCTTCCTCATGGCAGCCTTGTAGAGCATTGGCAGTGGCAAGTCCAACACTTTTTTGTTTGATGAAAACTCAAAAGCCAACATGTTGTCATGGAGGCACGGGAGGCACTGTTCATCAGGCTGGGACCGGAGCCCAGCTCTGACCTCGGTTCCCACGCTGGCTCAAGTTCAAGAAGCAAACAAATCCTTCTGTTGCCCTCAGATGAGCCAGGGGTCACTACTGAGGAAATGAAGAGACAGCAGAACCAGTCAGATGAGAAACTTGTCCGCACTAAACGAGGTTTAGAACGGACTGGTTCTGCATGGTGTCTACGAAAGACTCGGAACAATGAAAACTTCCTGCTGGAAACACGCTCCCCTCAGTCTCAGGAATGCAGAAGGAGTGACTCTCCTCTGCTGCTGGTATTCTGGGTAGAATTTGGCCCATTTCCCCCCGCACAGTACAACTATTCAAAGCAAGGGATAGCTTGGGAATGAATGACCAGAGTCTCCAGATGCCAGGGCCTCTGGCTCTAGGTCTCGCCGCTAATACTGAAGCCTCACAAAGCACATGCAGTGCCTTCTTCGATCCCATGTGGTGTCTGGTGGCACTGGAGCTGAGAAGTAGCTGGTCTTTTTGTCTGGGAAGTCTGGAGTCTGCATTTTGAGATGATTTGGATGCTCTGCCCAGCAGAACACCCATCAGACTTGTCCAAGGGTCTTCAGCAGGTGGCTGAACAGACAGCAGTGAATAGGATGGTGACTTGCGGGCTATTTCAGGAAGGGAATCCAGCCTGGCCTTCCACTAGTGTCTCCAACCAGATCAAAGTGGCCCCGAGCAGTGCCTGCCATGTGGCGCAGGGGGCCAGCCTTGGGAGTCCTGAGGAACTCAGAGCTGCTTGTCCAAATTCCAGAATCTGTGGTCACACCTTGAGCAGAGGGGACTGTGTTCCCAGAGCACTGGAGGCTCGTGGGGCCAGCAGACCTTATTCCCATAGGGCAGCCCCATTTCCATCACCACCTTTCTCACCAGGCTGCTTCCTGGGCCCCAAACTGCTGGTCATCGCTGCTGCGAGCCTGGAACCCTCACTCTGGCTTCTCCTCTCCCTTCTTTCTCCCATTTCTTTGTTTTGTCTCACCAGTCTCATTTCCCAAGACTTGCCTGTCCCTCACCGTGTCTGACAGAAGACTTAACTGCCTTCTCACCGGTGACTCTGTTCACAGCACAGACCTTCAGCTCTGTGCCCTTCTGGGCTCCTTTGCCCAGATCTGGTCCTCTTTCTCACCTCCAGCCCATCTCTCCAATGCTGGAAGCTGAACGAGGCCTGGCTTTTGTTAGCAAGTGAAGAGATCACCAGGTCCCACTGGAGTCTCTGGGAGGACCCAATAAATCACCCCCCCTTCCTCACCCGAGTACTGATCCAATTAGGAAGCGACTGAAGAAAAGCAGTGGGGCCAGCATATTTATTGCTGGTACCAGCTATGCTAGAGATCACGGAGCAAGCGTGCTTTCTAGTATGAGCCCCAGAATTACCAGGTTCTACTGCCCGGCAGCCCTGGGCCCTACGTTACCTATGCCCAGAGGAGTTGAGCAGATTGTGCGCTCTCTACAGCCTGGCTTAGCTGCAAGAGGAGGACACACAAAGGGGCAACCCACGCTTTCCCAGCACCTCCCGCCAAACTCATCAGGTCAAGGGGGGGGCATAAGGAAAGGGGGAGAAAAGCAGGACTTTGCAGCATCTCAACCCACGCTGGAACCCTGTGCATAATCTCTCCACGTTCCAGCCGATGTCCTGTCTGCGTCCCATGGCCAAAGCTTCCTTCGCACAACAAGGGTTTGCAAAGAAGGAGGAAGGCAGGCCTGGCATGCAGGCTCCATCAGCGGCCACCATATTTCATCTTGAAAGGACCCAAGGTCCAGTGTCCTGGGAGCTAAGACAAAACTTAAAAGAACAAAACGGCGAAAGCAGAGACAAGATGAGAAAAGCATCAGCTTCTCCATGTCCAGGGAAATGGCCCAGCTCAAGGAACTGGTGCTATCAGATAGAGCCAAGAACACAGTTGTGAATCATCATCACACCCGGAAAATGAACACTACACCTCAAATATAATTTTCGGTCACAAACAAGCTTCTAAACGTTGACATGATGGCAAAGGTCATCAACACATCCGACACCATTTAACATTGAACTCACCCAGCTTTTTAATTTCGTGCGTCCGCTCATCTCTTGTCAGTGGGACATAATTCATCTTCCGGCCACTTTCCCCGTAGCCCAGAAGAAAACCCCGCGATCTGCGTGGACTCTTGGCTCCCGACAGGCGCGGTGCCTTCCACGCAACAGAGAGCCGGTCGTCTGAGGATCGGACTCGGACACGCAAGGGCTTGTTTGGCACTTCCTTTTCTTAAAGAGGACATGACACAGAAATTATTACACAGTATATCCGTTAGCATGAACCACTGAGTCTAGAAAGTCTGTCCAAAGACGGAGCAGCAACAATTAGCAGCTGGGCTCAAAACATCCATTTTTGGTAAATCAACTCTAGTAGGAACACTTTTCCCCCAAGGGTATCAACACTCGATGCCCCCATTCCTCCCCACATTTCAGACAGAGGTCTCCAGAACTTAAAGTGAAAACACCCCATTGTGAGCCTGCCATCCGGAAGTCTTGGATGTTTTACAACATTCTTCCTCGTCTATTTTGCCTTCTTAATTAAGTTGGGCGGCGATGATGACCACACAGCCCATTGCTGGCACCAGCCGCACTCTGGCCCGCATCAGGGATATGGTCCGGCTAATAAGCGTCTCTCTGCTTACAGAAGCCGGGTACTTCCAAGCATTGTTCTTCAATCATCTACAGTGACTAATTTTTTAGACTGGAAAATTCCCAGCTAAGTGAAGGCATAGAAACAAAATCCAATGTCATGAGTTAGTGTAAACTTCAATAACATAATAAATCAAGAGCCGTTGGAGATGGTTATTCTGAAAAGCCAGACACATGGCTCCCATGCCTTGAATCTAATCAAAAAGAATATCCTTTTGTACATTACCTGGAGATAACCTGCTCAAGTTACTGGGCACCCCCATTCCTAAAGGCTTCTAAGAGAATACCATGTTATGGTTCAGTAAATATTTTCCCCGATATGCAAAATAGTCATTATTAAGATTTTTCAGTTTTGACCCAATAATGCAGCCAAAGGACTAACCACATGAAACTTGCCCTTACAGCCTGGTGTCATGAGCGTAACCACGTTCCCTAGGGTTATACTAAACTGATCTCAGTTTTGTTCCAAGTTAAGAGGTAGGCTCTCAATTTCAAGGACTAGCTTCTATAAAAATTAGGGACCACTAAGTGATTATGGAAATGATAAATATGCTCATTTATATAGTTCAAAAGAAAATAATTTGCCAAACGTGTTCAATACTGACAGCCAACTCATTAATGGCACAGCATTCAGTAACTGTATGAGTTCCTATATTAATCCTATGACTTGGTTATTCTTATGAGTTCCCAATGCGATGCTCCATGTTTCTAGAAAGATCCAGGCTGCCAAAACTTATTAAGGCTTGAGTTATCCACAGGTGACTGTGTCACAAAGGTGGACACGAATTCCCTTTATCAGCATGGGTCACTGATGAATAGACCTTGTGTGGGGTCTGGGTGAGAAGACTTTTTGTAAATACCGGAGGCAATGTCTCATAAAAACCACGTAGGAAAAGCAAAATCTGAATAATGAGCAGCATGTTCAGTCTCATTTATCAACAATGATGTTTTGGTTTGTTTTTAAAGTTAGCAGATTTGCAGAGGACATTCATCAGAACAAAACACATAACCAAGTTGACTTGCTCAGGAATAGTGTTCACATCATTTTCAACTTTGTACAAAGTCATGAAATAGACTTGACATGAGCCACAAGCAGGGGCATAGACGTGGAGAGAGAATTTCACAGGAAGCAAAACCCTTTGCTTCATTCTGTCTTCACAGCCTCTAAGTCATGTTTCCCTCTGTTTGCCTCCAACACAAACCGTCACCACACGCACAAAAGTCAGTTTTAACAGAAGACCGTCCCGTGAGTGATGACATAGACTCTCCGAGGGTGAACCACCTGAGGCTGGGGTTTGATTTTATGGGGTGCCCAGCTTTGGGCAAGGGTCGGTACTGTGTTTTTTAAAAGTTCATAAGATGAAAATGATCTCCGCCAACAACATATGATGCTTACTTTATTTCTATAAAAAGCTCATACCTCCTCAAGGGAACTTCTCAGTGATGTGGGGCTGAAAATGACACCTGCTCAAGCTGCCACAGGCCATTTGCACTGCTTGTTTGGGGGGCAGAAATGACAGGGTCGCCACCCAACCATGGCTGCCACAGTCTATTTCCTGAGGGGCAGCAGTAAACAGGACAGATGTCCATGGTGCTATTATCAACTTGACTGTCCTCAGTGTTACCCCCCCACCCCGGCACTTGTTCCGTATCCCTTTGTGGCCTATGGCAATGCTCCCACCACTGCAGAAAGCAACACACCAGCGTGGGAGTTCTGGGATGACCTCCAACAAAATGGGCAAATGTACTGAAAACACACACATGGGTCTCACAGGAGTCAGATAAAAAATCAATTATTGAACAGACATGGTATTCTCTGCCCTGTGGCTCTGTTCCAGTCCTGGGACACTTCCGGCCATGCACACTACAGGGCAAAGTGCCCCTGGAGGGCGCACTGTCCCTGCCAGGCTTTGGGAATGTGGCGGGTCTCTGCTCCAAACAAATAACCCCTGACACTCAACAGTAAAGTGCTGACAAAACTGTAAGAAGGAAAAAGACCATTGGAACAGTGACAGGGTCCCTGAGGAGCAGGAAACACTAAGCTTTCAAGGACGTGGAGTTCGGTCGCAGACGGCAGAAGTTTATTGCTTCAGCTGCCCAGCCCCTGGCTCTGTCTAGGCATCAGCCAGCCACACTGCCCCCCTCAAACTGTACGGGCTTTCACCCCAGGCCCCCACCTGCTATGTAGCCATCCCACACCAGGGCTGGAGAATGAGGCCAGGCCTGCTGAGCAAGGGACTCAGGGGGAACGGGGAAGAGGGCTGAGGCTGAGGCCAGCCCCAGCCACCAACCACGCTGCCTACTTTACACAGAACTTCACAGTTTACCACAAGCCCTCACACAGTTTATTTTAATTGTCCTTACAAGAGCTTCAGGGTTAAGTAGGATACATGGCACAATCCCCAAGAGGTTCAAAGAGGTGACGTCGCTGACCCAAGGCCACAAAGCTACCAAGTGCCAAGTGAGGACCTGAATTCAAGCACTGTGGGCTGGGTTCCATTCTCATTTCGCGAGACACCTTCCAGTTCCGCTCTCCCCTCCCCCCACCTGCCATCCCGCCAACCACCTAACCTCTTCTGCCAAGGAATGTGAAGCAAGGTTCTGAGCTGGACAGACCCCTCCTCAGGGGAGCATAATGCCTGGCACAGTAGGCATGAAGCGCACACGCGTGCGTGCGTGTGGTGTGTGTGTGCGTGCGCGTTTAAACAGACCAGACAGTACACACAGCCGGGAGCAAATGAGTAAGAGAAGGCCTCTTGCCACACACAGAAGTCACTGACTCTGAAAACCACAGAGTAAGGTGAAAACAACCCCCTCAACCCAGCCCCCCATCTTTCAAACCTTGGTTTTAGAAAAGCCAACCGTAATTTTTTTTCAAGCATTTTGAAATTTTCCTTTCTTTAATATTCTGGGACACATACCATCAAACATCTTCCATAGATCTTTATAGATCATCTGGTCATCCTCTTTTAAGCTGATGCACACATTAAGAAAAAAACAAACTATCCATATGGTTCAAAGGCACTTGCTATGAAATTATTTCAGTGCTTTCTCTAAGTCTTATGTGACAGTCCTGGGATCAAGTCCCACATCAGGCTCCTGGCTCAGCGGGGAGCTTGCTTCTCCCTCTGACCCTATCCCCTCTCATGCTGTTTCTCTCTCTCTCTCTCTCTCTCTCTCTCTCTCTCTCTCTCTCAAATAAATAAATAAATAAATTTTTTAAAAAAATGCCACTTCAATTTTGTAGACTACTCTTTAACATCTCGGGATTTGTTTTAAAGTAGAAAGTAACATTTTGAAAGATCATCCAGAAAGCACTTCCTGTGGACGTGGCCCATGTCTCCTAAGCCTTTGTGGACTTCCGGCAGGGCAGCGTCCTCCCAGGTTCTGAGAAGCCCAGTTTGAGAAGCCCCAAGGACCACTGGTACATCAGCACCTTCAGGCTGACATCCAAAGTGTCCATTTGTGGCGGACTTTGACCCCAGCAGTGCTATGAATATCAGTGAAAACTACTTCATGCCATTGATTTCACCACCCAGGACTAGGGCTGCAAAATGCCAGGTCCCCCAAGACAGGGTTCTGCACAGGTTGGCCGTGAAGCCCCTGCCACGGATGTGAGAATGAAGAGGTTCAGCAACCACCTGCATGGACATGTCCCTCGGTTCTTACAGATCCTAAGCCTTTTGAGGGGCGTCTCTCCCTACACTAAGCCGACAATCTTACTGTGTAGGCCGAGCGAGGGTCGGCTTCCTACTCATGGCAGCGGCTCATCTATAAGCCCGGAAGAACCATACCAGCCGCCAATGTCCTCAGCCACCTGCGACAGGAGCTTGGGGGGAGCCCAGCCCTGGCCCAGCCCCACGGACACAGCTTGAGGGGATCAGGAAGTTTCTCCAGCTGCGGAGGTCTCCTCCATTCGAGATGGGCAGGTGTAGTCACTGGAAGCATCTGCTCTAGATCCCTCTGGGGGCAGTGTCGCTTCCAGAAGCTCTTCCTGAGGACCCATGAGGGCCACGGAAAGCAAGGGAAGCAACAGCCCTTTCCTGATCGCCTCAGCAGCTGAAATGCAGACACCTGGCATTTCTTCACCCCGCAGTGTAATGAAGGGCTAGCCTCCTAGACTCTGGAAGCCAAGACGAAGGAGTGGGAAATATTCTGAGGAAAACTATGTCTCGGTTCCAAGGTTTGTTTGGTTCAGTTTGTTTGTTTTGGTCTAAAGCTCTTCGGCATTGCTTTCATTCAGGAGGACAGTAAGTAATGCACTTGTTTCCTGGAAATGAAAGACCTTGTTTCTGTTGAGTGGCTACTGATTAATTCAACTTTTTACTGTGACCCAACATACGCTTTGCAAATGGAAGACCCAGTTATGATATATGAGTAGGTTGATAAGTTAAAAGAGAAAGGCTTTCTTTCAGGACTAATATCTGCATTTGCAGGGATCCAATATAAGAACCACATCCCTCATCAGAGACCTCACAAGGGACGTGCCTGGCCTCTTTTTCACTCAGACATGAAAAGAAAAGCCCACGATGGGTCTGCCATCCCCCAAGATGCTGATCTCGTCAGAAGCATTAGGTATA